AATGCATTTATCAAGGCTTGAATTGTATCGATAGAGAAACATATTCTACATACAATGTTGCACCGATATCTTACAAAGTTGTCAGTCACTTTTATACACCTGTAGTTAGATTAATTTCTACTAAAGTTTCAGGTTTTAGGTGACTTGTTCGTATCTTACATTGCTTATTAACTTTTTACTTGAAGTAATTTTAGCTGTAGCTTAAGTGCACAATACATTTTAAGTTAAATTTTTGTTTGAAATATTTTATTTTAACAAAAATTTGTACGATAAGAATTCTACTTCCACTCCAACAGAATAAAATGTAAAATAAAAAAACTGTACGTCCCAATTCCCAATTTATTAACCAAGAGGGTTTTTTCAAGGATAAATGTGATAAGCGAACACACAATCCACCTGATATTATGTCTCAATAAAATGAAGAACCTCAAGTTATACCATTTCCTCAGGAAATTTTATTTAATCGCGGAACAGCACTTAAATTTTTAATTAAGAATTTCACTGGTACTTGTGGCGATCAAGCTGCTATGTATCACACCTGAGTTAACTACCACGGCAATATTTAACAGCTATTCGTAAGTTCATCACTAACATGCTTTATATGATCGTCAGTTAAAATTTTATCATAGCCGTAGAATATAAGACTGTGAGTCGTTTCTTTGGGCGCAGTTTTTACTAGTTGATTTCAAAAAAGGAAGAGGGGTTACAATCGACTGAACTGGAAAAAGAAATTGAACCGGGCTAGTCACTCTCAAAGATGGAATAATATGATTGATAGTTGTCATGTGGCAAAGTAACTCAGCCATGTAAACAATATATTTATTTACAGCACGCACATAGACTGACCTCAAAACTAATAACAATTTACAGGTAAAAAAAAACACCTTCTTGATCGAAAGAAGAGAAAGAAAGCACTAGAACAACTAGAATAAGAGCAATTAAGGCGACACAGGTAACAAGCCATCTGAATAACAGACGGAAAAACAACATTCAAATTTTCACTCTTTGTTTCCAGGTTCTTTTTAAACTTCATTAGGGAACTCAGTTTTTAGCCGTGATTTGTGCCAGTTGTTTTAACAGTATGTAATTACATAGCGCCTTTAACATAGGAACTTTACAATATTTACAAAATTTGACGGACATTTTAAAAATAAAGTATAATAAAGAAGGTAAAAGTCTATCAAGGTCAAGCCTATATTGCTAATAAACTAAAAAACATAAATCCCTTATATAGTTTACATTCCTACCTATCACTGAAATTTGTGCCGAAGTTAACACTTTAAGTAGTTAATTCTCTGTTCACTAGACCGTGGTCTCATCTAATATTGAACCATTATAGGCTAACAAGGAACGCAAATGCAGAGTTCTGAATTTGCGTGAAAAAGCATACCATAATGGGGTGAGAAGTCCAACCATGGACAAATTTGGCGTTTTTATAGGAATTTGCTAATCAATGTATATTTAAAAACAAGCACGACATACGAGTACAATGTCTATAAAATTAATACAAAAAGTGTACATTGATTGGAAATTTTATAGTCAGTTAATTACTTTATTGATGGACGTTTATTAATGCAAAATTATTTCTCTCTTAAAATCATTCTAATTTCAATAAAAATTAAGAATAGTTCTAGCGAATATGATAGATGACGGTAAAATTTCTGTGGGAGTATCTTGTGGGTCTTAAAACTGAAATTATAAACGAAATTACACATCACCGGCAGAAAAATAATACCACCTTCCAAAAATTAAGAATAGTTTTGAGACACTTCATTCATTTTTTTTTTGTGCGGAGTATTGTAGTGAGTAACCGGTGAACTAGAAAAATCAAAAAGCTGAAGTCAATTGATAACAATGGATCAACAAATTTTGGTTGCGACCAGCAACATATTAGACACGTTTGCGCGAGATAGGATAATAGTGCTTAATTGTACGGGCAAGCAAATAAATACGCACTCTCTGTTCCTTCACTCGCATAGACCGACGGGACGGTAATCCAATACAAACGGAGAGATATCAGGAACAGTACCAACGGCTTAGGTGCTTTCCGGGGTATGGGGTTAAAACACAGCCAATTTCCTGACTCCGGGATGGAATCTAATGGACGGGTACCTGAATTTGGCTCAAATAGGAATTTGAACCGGGGATGTCATGATCAGCAAATGTTTCGTAAAAATCGACCAACGAGGCAGAAAAATAATAAATAATTGTTACTCTAAAAGAATTATTGCAAGAATTACTGTTAGTAGAATTGCTGTAATTATCACAGTAAAAGTTCTAAAGTAACAATTCACAACCTCTGCATTAGTAATCGTGTCTGACGAATACCTCCGGCTATGATAAACAAAGTAATATTCAATTGTTCCATTATAGAAATTACAAATCTAATATATATATATATATATATTTATATATATATATATATATATATATATATATATATATATATATATATATATATATATATATATATATATATGTGGGTCACTCAGGGATATACTTGAGATATACCAAAAGTATTCCAAATACTAATAATTGTTTTACGCCTTTTCAAAATATTCTCCATCATGCTTTATACAAAGTTACATTCGCCTAAACCAACTCTGAAAACACTTTTGCCAGTCTTCATCTGACAGGTCGGAAAGTCCTTCTTCGTAGGCAGCCACGGCTTTTTCGGCGCTTGAAAAAACTTGCCTTTTATTTTTTCTTTGACTCTTGGGAACTAAAAGAAATCACAAGTAGCAGGCAAGTCAGGCCTGTAGGTTGGGTGACTTAGAGTTTTAACAACATATTCCTCAAAAAAATCTTTTGTTCTAGGGAGATATGTCAAGAGGCGTTATCGTGATGCAGCATGATTCCCCGAAGCCCGGTCTTTGGTCTTCTCTACCGTACAACTTGAAAATTTTTGGGGAGTGCAACTGTTGTATATCATACACAGTTGACTGACCTACAATTTTATATATTAAACTAAAAGCCTGCGTTTACTTTATTTAATATTTATTGGAAGTAAATAGTGTAACAACTTATATCGATGGTCCCTACGTACATAAAGTCATGTCAAAAATGGCATTTTTTTATTGCATAATTGGCTTTAAATTTTCCTTATGCACATACCTATATAAGATTTTTTTCTAAATATTACGTATTTAACTTCATTTACAAATCGTATAAGAGAACAAGTATGATAATTACTACGAATTAATGTCGTAGATGCGGATATCATGTAAATATTTAAGACATTACGATTAAAGTAAGGTGTACATGATTTGATTTCCTTTATATTTTAGAATTTTTTTAAAAAGATTATTAATCTTTTAAAAAATTCTCTAAAAAAATTATAAAAAAATTTATAATAAAATAATAAAATAAAATATCTTTATTACAGGCAACAGAAAGCCCATAAAATACGAGTATGTTAGTAAAATTGAAGTGAAATGAAATATAACTATTACGAATTTTAGTGTTAGTAATCAATTTAATTTAAATAAATATAATAAACACAGATATAAATTAAGATTTTGAGATATCCGCTAAGAGGGCACCGGCGTTTTATACCTTGGCATGAAGCCGTATCCAGTGCTCAAGCAGCGGCGTGTCCCATCTATCTGCCATTATGTTAAGAATGCTATTGGAGCCGCCCGCGTCCCGCAAACGCTTCAGCATCGATGCAACACGCTTTCTAATAATGGCGTGGAAACCATCAGTGTGCATTTCAGTGAACATTCCTGACGCACTGCAAAAGCGAGGCAGCCCCATCAGCATCCTAAACCCATTATTATACTGGACACGCAACGCGCTGTACACCCGCTGCGTATAGTTAACCCATAGGTTGCCCGTGTAAAAAGACTGGCAGTAGGCTTTGAAAATAGTAATCTTTACCTGCCTACTGCAACGAGCAAACCTTCGGGCCACCATTTTACATCAGATGGACAGCGCCCTGCGTTCCCGCTCGATATCCATATCATCACGCAGATTCTTAGTGACCCAGTGACCCAGATACTTAAAATGTGATACACGCTTTAGAGGTGAGTTGTTGGGTGTGAAGGTAGTCGCACTTGGTCGGGATTTGACTCCTGCCTTGAACACCATGAACTCACTCTTTTTCACATTGTATCGGAGTCCATGGGACACTGCATATGCTTCACATACATTTAATAGTTTTTGCATGGCACCAATCAAAGGGCTGAGCAGCACCATGTCGTCTGCGTAGCTTATGTTATTAATATATACACTATCGATATGACATCCCACATTTGTTCCGCTCAGCTCGTCGATCAGGCCATTATTGTACATATTGAAGAGCCTAGGAGATGTAAGACCACCTTGCCTCACCCCACATTCAAGTCTATATACATCAGAGTACGAGCTCGCTCATCTAACACAGTTGCTCTGCCGCTCATACCACGATCGTAGCACCGCAACTACCTCGTGCGGCACATCAGTCTCATTTTGAAGTTTTTTCCATAATATGTCATATGACACCAAATCGAAGGCCATGGACAGGTCAAGAAAACAGGCAAAAACTGGAGTGCTCTTATCAATGTAGTATTTGACAGTTTGCTTAAGACACAAGTTAGCGCTTTCGGTGGACAGACCTGGTTGAAAACCAAATTGCGCATCATTAAATTTTAAATAACCACTTAAGTGTTGATCAAGCACTGTCCAGCACCTTTGCCACCACTGTAGCCAGTGAGATTGGTCTGTAATTTGTCAAGTCCGATGGATCCCCCGACTTGTTCTTAATAACAGGCACAACAATGGTTCGCATAAGGTCATCAGGCAGGTAAGAGTGGTATATCTATACCTATCATTTCGTTTTAAAAAGCGCGCCACACGGTGCGAGCGCGGTCTTGTCTGACTTAACTTCATTCACTTGGAGAAGACGTCCAAGACGTCGATGCTTGTTCGCGTGGTGAAATGACTGTTTTAATACAGTATGATTTAGTGGTGTGTTTTTAGTTAAAAGTATTCATAATATTTCCTGCATAATACTGTAAAACATGAATAACAGTAGATCAAAGTTATTGGTGGATATTGCAAACTCCAGAAATAATGTTTTATGCGTTTCTGAAGCACAAGATTTAATTAATTATATTGCTGAAGATAATAAGGGTAAGTAGTTATTCAAATAAGTATATATTAAACGCTCAATAATACATAAAACCGATGACAGTAAGTATTTTCATTGTTTTTCGAACCGATCGTAGTGTAAAAGCAGACAAATCAGACATATCCGCTTAAACTATGATATAGTCATTAAATTATCATTTTTGCACAAATAATTATAATAAGTTGCATGCTTTTTAAAATATGACTTCTATTAAATAATTATAATAAAGAAATTTTTTTATTGTTATCGAAGTATATGAAGTCATGTCCTACATGTTTGTATACACGTGTAACTAGAACATTTATGTATGAATTTGTTTTCATTTACGTTTATTACTGTTGTTAGATAAACATACATTACGTTTTTATTTTTTTATTTTTAGATACACCTGTATATACCGAAAAAGATGTATCAATGGATCTTGAGGATCGACATTTGGAAGTTTCTATCGACGAAACACAAGCTGCGGAAGCACATAGTGATGGAGAACAAAATCATATTATATCATCTGATATACTATCGCAAAGTGATTTAAATTATATAATCGATACGGTAGGGGAAATTTCGAATGTTGAAATTGAAAATTACGATCTCACCGCGCCCATTTGTGAAAATGAAACACCACAATCAATACCTGAAAATTGGGGTTCAACACCAATGCCAAGTCCATGCATGTCCTTTGGGGACACTGTAAGAGAATGTAACTATTTAAGTGAACGTACTGTTTTTCTATCTCATGTAACCTTAAGGTCAAGCCCATTAGGATCCAGTGAAATGTCTGGTTCATCAACACCGCACCAACGAAAAAAAGCGTCAGTATGTGAAAAAAGCAATAACAAGGATCAAAATTACTAACAAATTTAACTGGCTTGATGAAAAAACGAAGGTGCTTGTCAATTTAGGTGAAGCTCAAACATCTCGATCCGGAAAATAACAAATGGCAAAACAAATGAAGATTCCATGTCTATCTAACTGTCGATTAGCTATTAACATTAACAGCAAAAAATAAACTTATTTACACACCAGATGAATGGTACACCCTGGTTCGCTGGGCAAAACAGAATAACCCAGCTTATACAGTCGTAGAAGTAAATCAAGACTTAGTTTTGAATTTCAAAGCTTGGCTACATACTAAAAACTGGATAAAAGATACAAATTCAGAGAAAATTTCTTGTAATAAGATAAGAGAATTAAAAGTGCAATGGAATAATCCAGACATTACTGAATTTAAATACGATTTTTTGAAGAAAATTATAGAAAACTGAACTGTGGCCTGAATTTGAAATTGACTAGAGGGAGGAAAAAGAAGGAACAAGAACCAAAACTAAACAAGTAATATCATGACTTCTACAAGAATCTTAAGCATAGTAAAGAAGAACAGGGTGATGACGAAGAAGATTAAAATAATCTATACTTAATTTTTTTTATACAAATTTTATTGATTATTAAGATGAATCAGTCAGAATAAAGCTGTGATGATTATTAAATATTACCAATTATGTAGCTAGAATATGAGGCACATACTTAGATAACGCTGTGATTTTGATTTAATAGTACTAATTAGATAGATAGATAATAAAGCTAAGGTACATACTTAATTAAATAAAGATGTGATGAATATTAAATATTACTAATTACAAAAATAAAACTTGCTTAAATGAAAATTGTTAATAATTAACCTTAACAACTGTGATTTTTAATGTTTAATTCCTACTGCAATGAAACTACAAGTACCTATTGTTTAAATGCTAAGAAGATTGTTATTTAACAATAAATAATTTTTAATTATAAATGTTGTTAATTAATAAAAAACAGTCCTGATAATTTTATTTACATTTTTTTTTTACATTTCAAGAAATATAGTCCTACCTCGAATGAATGAAACCGCGTATACAGCGATATGTATTCATTGATGCATTTTTTAAATTCATGGGTGACGATCTTAGGATGTTTAACGTATCCATTAGAAAACAAAATATTATTCTACGGTTTTATAAAACATTTTATTTAAATTATATTTTAGACACAGTTTTATTATTTCCTGCGTATATAAATGTATCATAGACGTGTCTGACATGCTAACATTTTAATATCAGCGTAGAAGCAGTCATCTATCAGTTTTTTCTATGAAAATATAAAAAAAATAGATATGTATAAATGCCATTATAAAGTTCCTAAAGATAGTAAAACTTTGTAGAAAAAAAGTAGTTATGGTTGTACACAGAATTGTTTCTAGGGCAGTTTGAACATAAATTACGCTCTCCTGTAAACCTCGGTTTTAGACATGTATTTATGTACGTAGGGGCCGTCGATATGCGTTTCACTGTTTAGCACAGGTTTCTACAGTATTACTTTGAGAATATCACTGCAACTTTTTTAAAGGTTTATGGCTTTTCATGAACATTGATTAAGATTAATTTAAAACTATTAAAGTAGCACTTAACCTTTATTTTTTTAATCTAATCGATTTGTGGTTGTTGATCACGCTACGTTAAATTTAGGCTTTTAAATAACATTTGGCAAACAAAACTTTATTTTCGTATCTGAAATAAAGAAATATATTACGATTTAAATGAAAATAACTTTACGGATTTTATGGCGCTTAAATTTAACTTTTTAATTCCCCGCGGTTTGGAGTGCTTTAGAATACAGCGGAGACTGAGGTATTAGACGTCCCGATGTCATGGTGTGCCTGGCTGCCTTTAGTTTTTAAATATTCATTTTTGGTCCAGTTTACGTAGAACTAGCGTACAGTATCCTGAAGTCTTGCAGTAGTATGATTGGGTTTAGATTTATTTTTATTATTTAGGGTCTGAAGCAGATGGTAGCACCTATCCATCTTCTCTATTGAAATTAGGATGTACTTTTTTAATTTTAATAGCCTGACATATCATCTTTAGTAGGAATCGGTGTTTATTTGCGAGGACTTGAGATCTCTTAAACCTAATGTAATAGCGGGGCGATCTTCAACATTTCCACAGACGGCAGACTTCCCGGATCGTCACTGCTATAGCACATATAGCTATAGACGTATACGTCAGCTATATGTTCTTTCGCGGACTGTAATAGATCTAATTTGATTGATATATAAGTAATAAGAGACTACATTACAATCAAGCATGTATAATCTAACAGAAGATATTAAATTAACGTATGTAAAGTTACAAAATTAGTACAGAATTTCAATTATAACTGACCGCGTATGGATTAAAAAGAAGTCAAATAATTGGTTTGAACAAAATGAGGAATGAAACTTGATAAATAATCCATCTAAATATACTTTGATGCTTCGATTTAAACATTGAAAAATATTTAAGTTTTACTTATTACTATACATTTTCACATTTTCCATGATAACATATATTATATTTTAACAATATTTTTTTAAAAATACCTAGTTACTCGTATTAGTTGACAAACTCATTTCTACACGAGTTTTAAGAACATATAGGAGGCTCTTGCCTTTTTTTGCGCCCGAAGCAAATAAGGACAATCCCTCTCTAATATTTATATCTATGTTTGTCCAATGTATATACCTACTGTTTCATTCTAGCATCTTAGTTTCTTTATCTATTTTATTATCGTTATCTGTTATTATCACTTATGATAACACATATGTTTAAATTATGCAAATAATTAAATATTTAATTATTTATGCGTATTACATATTCGATTGCTCTAAGTTAATTTGAAATATCTTTTATCTCTCAGAAATTAACACTTTATAAAATGAAAATAAAATTTGACATTTATTTTAAGAAACAATGAATGATTTAAAGAGATATTATGTAGCGTCGCCAGCAAATACACTTCTAAACTACGCCCTAATTATTCGCGTAATTGTCTAGCTGCTCAACTCGCACCTATAAAAATTGTCACTGGATACATGTAGCTATTAAATGTATCCTGTGACAATTATCACGAAACTTAAACGTTACATGCAATATGCATTACATGAAATAATAGAACTGGCCAAGCTCCAAACGTTTTCATGCTCGCTCCAGTCGATGACGGCTCCCCGGATTAGCTAATGTTGTTTACACTTTGTTGTATGCGTACTTGTATTCAACGTCGTTTCTGTGCACTTCGTATATTTTTTTTTTTTTATAGAAGAGGGGGCAAACGAGCATGTGGCTCACCTGATGTTAAGTGACTACCGCCGCCCATGATCAACCGCAACACCAGGGGAATTGCAGGTGCGTTGCCGGCCCTTTAGAAAGGAGTAAGCTCTTTTCTTGAAGGTCCCCAGGTCGTATCGGTCCGGAAAAATCACCGGTGGTAAATTATTCCACAGAGAGGTTGTACGCGGAAGAAAACTCCTTTTGAAACGTACAGTGGTGGACCGCCAAGCATCCAGATGGTGTGGATGGTATCGGGACGTTTGCCGTGTAGTGCGTTCACGAAATTTGGCGGCTGGGATTAATCCGAACAATTCCTCAGAGCACTCCCCGTGATAGATGCGATAAAATACGCAAAGAGATGCAACATCTCTTCGCAGCGCCAGTGAATCGAGCCGATCGGAAAGCACTCGGTCGTCAACGATTCGAGCCGCTCTGCGCTGGATGCGGTCAAGTGGAAGGAGCTGGTACTGGGGGAGCCCCAGCCCAGAGATGGGAACAGTATTCCATGAGCGGCCGAACCTGCGCCTTGTAAAGTTGCAGGCGGTGTGCCGGCATGAAATACTGTCCCGCTCTGCTGAGCACGCCAAGCTTTTTAGAGGCCAATTTGGCCTTCCCTTCCAAGTGACCACGAAACTGCACGTCACTCGATATGTCGACGCCGAGGATTCCGATACTGGCTGAGGCAACAAGGGGAGTGCCTTGAAACTGAGGGGATACGACAAAGGGGTTCTTTTTAGCGGTTAACGCGCAAACTTGTGTCTTCTTTACTGTTAAACTGGACTAGATTTAGTCGCCCCCAATCCGAGACTCTGTCCAGCAGAGACTCGACTTCAGACACAAGTTTGTCCCGGCACTCAGAGACGTTTTCCCGAGAAATATTGGCTCGGCCGGTGTAAAGAGCATCACCAGTGCTGTCATCTGCATAGCAATGAATGCTACGGGTTTGCAACATATCATTGATATGCAGAAGAAACAGCGTTGGCGATAGCACGCAGCCCTGTGGAACACCAGCATTAATAAGCTTGCAATCGGAGCTTGCACCGTCTACAACGACCTTGATGCTCCGATCTGCAAGAAAACTGGTGATCCAATCGCACAATTTCTCGGGAAGCCCATAGGAAGGGAGCTTCGAAAGAAGCGCTTTGTGCCAAACCCGATCGAAGGCCTTCGCAATGTCCAAACTAACGGCCAATGCCTCCCCCTTGGACTCTATAGCTTTGTTTTGAGGGGAAACAATGAAACTTATATAAGTGATATAAATCTTTGAAAATAAAAAATACGGAATGAAAATAGCGAATTATTTACGTGTCGAAAATATACCGCTGTTTCTTGGACATTTACAAAAAAAAAGGAAAATTATGAATGCAACACTATTTTGTCTCAAATCATCTTTTTTAGATATTGATGGAATATTAAAAGTTTTGTTCAAGTATAACTTATTACAAACTCTTATGACGTAATCAAAGAATTTTTATCTGTTTTATCTGTTTGTATTGAAATTTTTTGGCGTATTTATAATTTCGTTTTTCAAAAAAATAATATAAAATAAATATTAATATTTTGGCACGATACCACGGGGATATGGAATGTAAGATTAGTAAGTTATTAACTTTAGATTTACTTTAAATAACTTTAGATTAATTTTAGATTTAATTGTTTTTTGATATCGTATATATTTCAGTATTATTTAAATTAAAAATAATTAATAGAATCTCATAGGGGTTTAAAATACCTAAAAAAGAAATAAATACTGCCGCTGCCAACCTGTCGTAATCTGGCAAGCGTATCAATCATAACAAATATGAGGCAATGTGTGAAAAAAAAACCTTTGTTCAGCAGTGATCTTTCGACAAGCTTACGATCAGGATTCATAATTATTAAGTATTGTTAAAATTGCAATTTTATTGTATTTATAATCTAAAGAACAGTATTGACAAAATCCAAAAAATCTTACCACTTTCAAAATTGAAATACATTTTATCAAATCAATATTTACGAACAACTTTTCACTTTTTAAGCTAAGCCAATTTCTTTTTGTGTTGGATAATATTCACTGGATATTATCCAACACAAAAAGAAATTGGCTTAGCGGTTATATCATTTTTCTGGTGAAATACGACCGCATAAAGTGTTTCCGAAAGCAATTAGTATCTATATCCTATTTATAGAAAGAAACCAAAAAATAAAACGCGACACACGTAATGCTTTTCATGCGGCGGTGACACTTTTTATTTTGTTAATATTAACAAAACTTGGTCCATTTTGAATAGTAACGCCTGTAAATATATTTCATCATTGACAACCAATAATGTACACTGACTTTTAAGAGTTTGGAGGATCTGTAGAAAGAAGCAGCTGCCTGGTCATGAGTACACTGCTTATATGACGGATGATGGATACTGTGACCCGTGAACATATATAATAGCTATCCTCGAGACTAAGATAGAGAAGACTGGGATGCAGTGTCTCATAAGTTCTTTGGCAGCGAAACAATAACGAAATTCCCTGCTCTAACGTATAAAACTGACTATGATGTTGTCTCTTTCTAATTCTCTCATTTGCTCAGGCGCCGTCTACATCTCCGCCCGTTGTCCGCCATTTTGGAGCGGTTCCGCATGTAACTCGGACGCGTCTGTAGCAAGCGACAATTTTTATGAGCGAAATAGGAACAATGTGAAATGACAACAAATGAATTGTTTGCCTCTAACTCCATTGTGAACTAAATTTTAGAATATACAGAGTTAAGATGGTCTAAAAATGCAGTTACTTTATCTAAAGGTAGAATTGTGAAAGTGTCATCTAGGTACCGCTTGTAGAATCTTGGATTTATGGGAGAAGTAAGCAGGGCTTTCTCCTCAAAGTCTTCCATGAATATGTCGGCGATAATGGGAGATACAGGTGAACCCATCGCCATACCATCTACTTGCTTGTAGAACTCCTCCTTCCACTATTGGTAGACAGATGTAAGGCAGTGTCTAAGTAATACTGCATATTCTACGGGCATGTTGCTTTCTTCCAGCCTTCTAGTTACAATTGAGATGCAGTCTTCAACAGGTAAGCATGTAAACAATGACTGCACATCAAAACTGACCATAGTTACATTGTCTGCCAGATGTAGGTCTTTAATCTCGCTGACAAATGGTAGGAACCCTTTATGTGTGCTCTTGTATATCCCCTGAGCGGTGAGAGTATTTTCGCTAAGTGTTGAGCCAATCTGTAAGTTGGTAAATTGATTTGGCTCACTATGGGACGTAATGGAGCATTGGGCTTGTGTATTTTTGGTAACCCATACAATTTTGGTGATTTGGCGCACGTAGGTATTATCCATGAATCCATGAAAACATGAATCCTACAGACAGAATGGTTGAGTACATAGAAAATAGAAGGAAACAAAACTCTAATTATGAGAAAGTTAAGGTTAAATGTGACGGTATTGATTTGTTATTTTTGGGTTATGCAGACTCTTTTAAAAAACTAAGCAAACGGACTCAAGTAAACGTTAAATTCGATATCGCAAAAATATTGATGGAAGCAGAGCTTAATGATCTTGAGAATGCTGAAAGAAACACATCTTCACTTACTTCAAACTACTCAAATGATATGACCATTCATGCTCCTGCTACTCCGGGGACCCACTGGGGAAGCAACACATCTTCACATACAACAACATACTCAAGCAAGCATGCTCCTATTACTCAAAATGACAGTGAGGCAGCACATCAAGATTCTTACGACAGTAATACAACAAACATACATGCTCTTGTTACTCCGGGAAACTACTCCTTGATAAGTAATGACAGTAATACCGCCGAACCTACTGATTTGAGTACATCTACATATTTTTCTCAATTTGCATCATTATAATTGTTTTTAAATCTTAATTTTGTAACTTTAATTTTAATATAGGTACTTACCTCAAAGTTAATCCCAGTCTTTCTTTGCTAGAAATAGCATCTTTAAACCTTGTATATTGTTTAGTAATGCAAGGCTTTATAAGGTTATGTAACTCTTCAAAACTGTCTGGTGTCATTCTGAAGTGAGAATAAAAACGGTCTTCATTTGACTGTAATTCTTTAAATAATATATTTTCTCTTAACTTCTTTTTTTTTTGTTATTGATATCATGCACCCAGGTACAATGCCTTTTTAAAGTAGTTAACCACAGTAAGATTTTCTTTCGATTGTTATTTCTCAACTCTTCTAGTTATAGGTTTCGCTAATATAGTTTAGCGTACGTGAAGTACTGTTGCACAGCGAAACTCACGCAGCGGTTTTGCAGTTGTTGTTTCGCAGCGGAGGTGTGATATAGGCATAAGTCGTTAACAACTAAAAGGATCACGACAGTATTATGCAGGTATCATACTGTCGTGATCCTTTTTTTATAGGATAGGGTGACAAACGAGCACACAGTCCACCTGATGGTAAGTGGTTGCTGTGGCCCATAGACATCTATATCTATCCTCGATTACGAATCAAAATGCAGATGCGTTGTCATCCGTGAGGACTAAGATGGAATGCCTCGTTTCCAGTAAAAATGGTCTCCGATTCTCTACACTCACCATACGAAACACAGCAGCATTAAGCTACTATTTCACGCTGTTATTCTGTGAAAGCGTGGTCCTTCCCCGGTCGAGCCGACCCATTCGTGCTACAACTATACTACTAATATAACTGCAGCATGGCTCTACTACGTATAAAAGTTTTAGTCAGTAGTAGTTAATATTCTATGCTAACGTTATTATTTTTCTGGTCGAGCTGACTAATCCGTATGGCAGTTTGGTTCTACCACGAAAACAAATGTTTAGAAATTATATAATATACTAGTTTGCCAGGCAGACGTTGTTCTGCCCTTTTCGACGACCCTGTGCCTATTAAAAATCCTTAAATTCGCAAAAAAATTGTGGGTCACTCATGGGCAAAAAAACTATCCTATCTCTCAAGTTGGACCAAACTGCACACGGTGTGCAAATTTGATTAAATTCGATTCAGTAGTTTAGTAGCCCATCGCGGACAAACAACGTGACACGTAATTTATGTATTAAGAAAGATATACATATTATGTAATTTAATTTAGTCGAGAAAAATATTTTACAGATATGTTTAAATATTATTTACTTTGTGTAATTATTATTAACAGGCAGGATGGTTTGCGCCTGACCTCTCTTCATTCTTGTTGGATGGCAGTCTCATCAAACAATAAGATTAAGGGAATGGAGAGTACATCCGTGCTTGTGCACACCCGCACTATGATCGCATATGGATAATCTCCGTTGGAACTGACCACGTTGACCGAAATGTCGTTTTGAGGACGTCATAATAATTATGTTATCATTTATTATCATATTTTCCAACTACATTTCTACAAATTTGCGAATGCTTAGTTTCTTATTAATAATATTTGAAAATCAGAGAGTTCTCAATACATAATAGTGTTGTTGAAGTATCTTAAAGGTATGAATGATGTCATTAACTGGTGGAATTATCTATCCATACATTACAAGCCTATAAATTAGACTTATGAATATATGCCTTCCGTTGCTTGACACCACCCGCTTATATTTTGAGTAATTATTAGCATAATGCTGCCTTTCTCCTGCTTCATTTCTCTCTGTCGCCTCTTACGATACCCATAAGATGATATGGAGTTGAAGATTCTCTTTCACCGCTACTAGACGACGATACATTAATTTAATATCTGGTAATACTTTATGTGGCAATTATCAAAAAATACGGACAAACACAGGGGTGGTTGCAATAGTTTCCACCCTTGGCAGATGGGTTGAAATCACAATTTTTTAATATTTTGAGTTATTGTTAGGATAATGCTGCTGCCTATCTCCTGCTATAGTTTACCTCTGTTGCATATAACGATATCCAATATATGGGGTTGTGGATTTTCTTTGACCGCTACTACACGACGGTATACTAATTTAATATCTGGTTACATTTTATGCGACAGTTATTCCAAAAATTAAGACAAATAATGATCATCATCATCATAATTACAGCCCTTCACAAGTCTACTGCTGAACATAGACCTCCCCAAGGAATGCCACAAAGCACGGTCTTGAACCAACTGCATCCATCGACTTCCTACCTGTCTTACCAGATCGTCACTCTATCTAGTGGGAGGACGCCTTACACTTCGCCTGCCGGTACGGAGCTGCTACTAGAGAACCTTTTTTCCGCATCGGTTATCAGTTCTTCGAGCTATATGGCCGGCCCATTGCCACTTCAGCTTACTAATCCATTGGGCTATGTCGGTTACTCTGGTTCTACTGCGGATCCCTCTCCATAGCTCGCTGAGCGACTTTGAGCTTCCTCATACGGACAGCAGTGAAGAACCACGTCTCAGATCCATAGAGTGATGACACTGGCAATACGCACTGGTTGTACAGTCGCGTTCTAAGAACTTAAAACTCGATTAAAAGACAAATAATATTTCCACGAAAATGCAAAAATAACCAGCGTTACTTCCATATTGTATTTTAGGCGACTTAACAAAAATAAATATTGTTTGGCAACGGAACAGCGAATGTTTGCGATATTGTTGTAATAATTTAATGCCATGAGTTGCTCGCGGATTGGGTATTTATTTAGATACGGAAAGGTGGGATGTTGCCTTGTTATTTTGTGACCCCAATAACTATTGAGCGATTTACGGGAGGTTAGAACCTTGAACGGTGGTTAATTCGTTCAAGGTTAGAACCACAACCTATTACTTGGTACATTAGCTTGCGGATTGGGAACTTGAATAATAAATATTATTCTATTGGTTGAAAATAATTTGAAATAAATTATATATCATTATTTAAAATTAATATTCAAGCTTTAAAATATTAATTTTTATATAAAAAATAATTAAATAATTTTAATTACTAAAAGAATTCATGTAAAAAACGTAATTTTTATAACATTACGAATAAAATAAAACAAATGCACGTACTGCACGTTCGTAAAAGAAATCATTATTCGTATTTTATTTTAAGCAATTTTTCAATTATCAGTTTATTCAGTGTATGTGGGAATAAAGTATACTGTAGATTTTTATTTTCTTGTTGTTATGAGGAAGACGATGCGCCCCATCTTTTGGTTTTTTCTCTCTTTCGTCTCCTACGACATCCAAGGGAATGATATGGTGTAGTGGATATTGGGACACCGCCACATAACCTGTTTAAACTTGTATAACTTGTATAAATATGACGATAAGATATGTAATTTAATTTATCATTTATTTAACTAAATAACAACTACTGCTATGAAGTCATAATTTCATAAGTCCATTTCTGGACATGAATTTCACTTGTAAGCATCATTTTGCCTTACTCGTTGCGCCTGGTAATTGGCAGTTAGATTGACTATAGCAGTATCAGGCGTCTCATACCGTCGACGCTGTTGCCTGTCACCCTTCTGCGTGGGTATGTTAAGTCTAACCACTGCCCCCGAAAGGGTTGCTGCTTTGTCATGGCGGGGACGCGTAGTAGCCGTAGCATGGTTACCCGCAGTGAATAAAGAGGAACCGAACTGGTTGGTCCGAGATGTAGGCCCGACCCGAAGTGGTCACTACGAGTGGGCCTGTCCAGCCAACTTCGGATTTGTGTTATGTTAGAGATCTAATCCGCCATTGGGGTCGGGAAAATTAGTGCTTCAAGGCGCTCGTTTTTCCTGGCCTCACAGCCTCCGAGGGAAGGGTCCGTTGTGCAGGTGGAGTTGGAGGCTGTGAAGGAAGAAGTGCCTTGTATTCCTAGTGCGCCTTCTTTGAAAAGGATAATGGGGAGGAGAACTTCTCCCCCGAGGAGTGGCTGCAATGGGAAGGTGCTGGTAGGGCCGCGGATGTATGCGAAAGCATTCTCATGGCCTTGCCAACATGCAGCGAAAATGAAACATCATAGTATGTTAGTCGGTACAAGTGCGACATAACCCGTCTTTGGCCCCGTGAGACAAGTATGCGTAGATATTTCGCCGTGTAATAAAGCGGTATGTTAAGTCTAACGAGTAGAAACGAGGTATCTATATAGTGCTGGATATCCTTAAGCCACCACAATACGGCTATAATATTTATTGCATGTGTAAATACATAATAACTGCGGACAATGTCTACCTTTTATGTGTGAATGTGTCTATATTTAAGCCTAAATATGTGTAAATGATGGGCACAGGCACTGTTCTATTTCTAAGCGGTTTTGGAGCAGTTAGTCGGCCGTATCGCTCTTGTTTGTAGTGACAGACTTCACACGTCATCGTAATTTTTGTTTAATTTCTTGATTTGCATGTTTGCTACAATTTTTTGCTTTACTGTCGAGAAGTAGACGAAAATACTTATTCACAATTTCACTAGGAAATCTAAAGCAGGCGAAAGCATAGCTCCAGAATGCAACGGCTAGTTTCTAAGTACAAAATTTGGATACTAAGATATAGTTAAGTATGTTCATGCATCCAAATTACTATTTATTGTAGGTCCGGAGCGCTATTTAGATGGCAATTAAGCTTAGTTTCCCATATTTTCAAATTAAGTGTCTAGAGCCTCGTCGGCATAACCCATAATCCTAGATTAAGGGTACGAATTGGGAAGCAAAATTGCATTGTGGGTTCTCTACAAACAACAAGACCAATATATTAATAATGAAATGATTGATTTCTTAAATTTACGCGAACACTACACATTGAATAAAATTAAATTTACGGATTTTATCGCGTATCGCATTTTCAAAAAACTGAAGGTAGCCGGGCTAACAATGACATTGGGTCGTCAAATATCTCAGTCCCCCGTGACCATGGTTGCTGTAAAGCACCCAAAACGTCGAGAGTTAAAAATAAGTAAAATCAGTTAAATAAACGCGATAGAATCCGTAAATTTAGTTTTAT